CATATATACCTTCCTTGTTGCCCACTAAAATAATGTTTTCTCACAAATAGAAAGAGACAAATGTGATTCGATTGTTAATTATTGGCCAATATTTTTAGCAGGTTACAAAATCAAATATGGTTCTACTACCACCATTTTCCTTTGGTCATATTACTTTTTAAGCTCAACATTGATGGTATTTACCAATTCATTTTCATCGTCTAACTTGAAGGGGCATTATGGAAATAGTAACACTATAATCCCTAGAATTTCAAGCTTAATCATTATACAAAATTTTTTTCTCCCACCCTTACAGCAAAAAGGGAAAAGTTGCCCTACATTTGTCCCTTTTGCCAATGCCATACGTTTAACCCCGCACACTTTTGGACAAGGTTCTCAACACAAAATGCTGACACTAAAAAAAGATAGATGCTTGTATACTTAGCCCATGTAGCAATAAAATTTACATGAGATGATGATGGTGATGAAATGAATTATTGCCATCCATATACTAAAATCAAAACTATTAGCTAGAAGCCTAAAATCAAAGTGATATGCATTTTTTTTTTTGAAGATATTGTTAATAGCTTACTTCCTTTTTGGGAATGGCTAGCACATGCGCCCAGTGTGCAACCAAAAAAAGGGATAAAGTTGATGACAATGCCCAAGGGAAACGCCTTACAATAAAAACACAAGGTGTATAAATGCCTAAACTCATATACCACAATTTGGCTTAGTGTCCCTCTCAATTTCAACTACCATCCAAATTTCTCAATTAGAGCAAAAAGAGATATGTTCACTACCCCTACACACCCAAAACATTTACATACTATTTACTTCTGTATCTACTTATATATAGGCCTTTGGAGGCTTGAACCACTCACATGCAACCATTTTATAACACTACAAGCCCTTAATTTTTTGAGCACTTATGGTATAAGCCAAGCACCAGCACTGTGGACTGGTACTATTGGACCAAAATTTTTGGATCATGAATTGGTTTGACTAACAATTTTACGTAATTTTTTTTATATTTATTTATTTATTTTTGCTAAATTATTTATTTTTTATTCATGTATGTTTAAAACTTTAGACTTTGAAGTAAATATTTAATCTTGTTAGTAAAAATAAATTTTAGACTCCAAAAATGATAAAATTCAATTCATACAAAATAAAAAAATTCATAATAAATAAAAAAGAAAAAGTAAATATTCTTCGACAATGAAATTCTATGAAAGTCAAAGTAGTAATTTTTATAAAACCTCTAAGTAAGAGAATTTTTCTAAAATGTTGTCGGAGTGTCAAGAAAATTTTTAATACAGAAGATTTCCTTTTTCTTTTTCAAGAAAAATTATTAAATTATAAAACAAAAAGTAATAAATCATGCATAATGGACAAACAGAAATTAGATGAGTTAATAGATAATAAATAATTAAAAATAAAAAAATGGGTTATTAAAGCAAATGAAATCACATGTGTATCATATTTTATTATTCACATCTCATGCATATATCTTAATCTAATAAAAAATAAAAATCCCATTGAAGATGAGAAATTAACGAAATCTAAGTAGTGATTTCTTAAAAGTGAGAATATTTTTTTCAAATGCTACTAAAATATTGAAATATTTAGAGAACTATTCAATATAAAAGATTTTTGTAGACACCCAATTGGGTCCGGGCCCAGATCAATTGGGCCTGGCCCAAACGGGTAAGGCCCAATTCAATCCTGTATTTTTTTTTCTTTTTTTGTATTTTATGTATTTTATTATTATTATTATTATGTATATATTTATTTATTTTTTTATTAGATTAGATTTATATGTATATAGTTATATATTTATTATTATTATTATTTTTTTTTTTTGTAATATATACTTGGGTTTATCTTATTTTATTATTATTATTATTATTATTATTATTATTTTTAATTATCTGTTCTGATTTTTCCTGATTATCAGATTTTTTTTTTTAAATATCTTTTGATTTATCTGATTATTATCTAGTATTTTTTTATTTTTGATTTTGGAGGGCTAAGATTGAAGCTGAAGAATCCTACCGGGAATGGGAATTCAATCAAGAGAGTCCAATTGGATTCAAAGACTGAATTCTCGTCCAAGGAGGAATTGGGATTGATCAGAAACTCCTGATCAATCCTTATATAAAGCACCTCCTGGAACAGTTCAAGAACACACAGAAAACAGTAAGCAAAGCTACTGATTTGAGAGAAAAGGAGGCGTATAGGAAGCTAGGAAAAGTTTAGGAGTGGTCTGGGAGTGAGAAAAAATTTCTAGAAATTTTTGGCGAAAAAATTTTCTGGAAATTTCTGGGAAATTTCCAGATTCCGTCAAAAATTCCGGCGAAGTTTGAATTTTCCGGCGATAGTTCCGGCCAAACTTGAAGTTTCCGGCAACCAGCCCAGTTTCCACGAAAAATCCCAGAAACCGGCGATCTTTCGGCAACTTCCGGCGAACTTCCGACGAAATTTTCCAGATTCCGGCGAGAATTTCCAGAATCCGGCGAAATCCCATCGGTGTTCTTCAGTCTTTAGAGAGAAGGCAGAGGAAAGAAGGAAGAAGAGAGAGAGAGAGGAGGGGCGGTCTGCCGAAAAACAGAGGGTAGTGCCTTTTATACCCTCCCAAAACGACGTCGTTTTGGCTTTAAGTTAATCAGAGGATCCGCGCGTTTTGCCGAAAACCCGACCCGACCCGGGCGTCGACCCGCTTTCTGACCCGCGCGTGCAGCCCCTCCGAGCCGAGCCGAGCCGAGCCAAGCCACCAAGCCGCTTCCCCCGAGCCGTTTTCTCTTCCTTGAGCCGAGCCGAGCCGAGCCGCGATCCGAGCCGCTCCAGGTTTTTTTTTTTTTTTTCTTTGAATTTTTTTTCTTTGTTTATTTGTTTATTTTATTTTTTATTTATTAGATTAGGTTTATGTAATATTCTTTTTATTTATTTTCTTTAAATAAAAATAAAAATTTTCAAAAAAAAATATTTTTAGGGAAAAGTTGAAAGTATCAATTTTCCTTAGAAATAAATTTCCAAAAAATATTTTTGGGGAAAAGTTGAAAGTATCAATTTTCCTTGAAAATTAAAATTTTCAAAAAAAATATTTTTAGGGAAAAGTTGAGAGTATCAATTTTCTTTAAAAATCAAAATTTCAAAAAAAAAATATTTTTAGGGAAAAGTTGAAAGTATCAATTTTCCTTGAAAATCAAAATTTCCAAAAAAATATTTTTGGGGAAAAGTCGAAAGTATCAATTTTCCTTAAAAATAAATTTCAAAAAAGGGTTTTTGAGGAAAAGTTGAAAGTATCAATTTTCCTTGAAAATCCAAATTTCCAAAAAATATTTTTAGGGAAAAGTTGAAAGTATCAATTTTCCTTGGAAATAAATTTTCAAAAAAAATATTTTTGGGGAAAAGTTGAAAGTATCAATTTTCCTTAGAAATAAATTTTCAAAAAAAAAAAAATAAATTTTTGAGGAAAAGTTGAAAGTATCAATTTTCCTCGAAATTAAAATTTCAAGAAAATATTTTTGGGGAAAAGTTGAAAGTATCAATTTTCCCTTAACAAAAAAAAAATCCTTCCTTTCTATCTAAATTTTGATTTTATTTTTTTTTCTTTAAATAATCCGACGACAGAGCCTCTGTAAGTGAAACAGTAGTTTTCTTGCATACTCCTGAGGTGAGGGAATTTTCTCAATTTTCTGCTAAAAGTATTAGAGTCAATTGAGAATAATTTCCAACAACTAATTACTTGGTAAAATTTTAAAGCTTTTGGATAACACAAATTTAAGCTGGTACCATCTTTTGATGGGCGTTGTGAGGGTGCTATAACCTTCCTCACACGTAACCGAACTCCCGAACCCTGTTCTGGTTAGTAGACCTGAACCTATTCTTTTAGGGACCCTTAAGCTTAGGTGTTCCCTGAAAGGACAGATTCCTTAGGTGGGCCATCACACCTAGATAAAAAAGATTGGTGGCGACTCCCTAAAGTCATGAAGCGGATCCTCCGATCTAGACGTTACGACAATTTTCATTTACTTTTTTATAAAAATTAAAATAGAAGAAAAAAATAAAAAAGAGTTATTTTTAGGAATAAAATAGTGCATGAATATTATTTAAAAATAGATGTGAATTTCCAATGATGGAATTCTAAGAAAATTTGAATAGTGATTCTTTATAAGTCAATAAGAGAGAGGATTTTTCTAAAAATATTGCCAAGTAGTAGAGAATTTAGAAAAATCATCAATAAATATTCTTGTTTATTTTTTATTTATTGAAAATAAAAATAAATTTTTATTAAAAAAAAAGAAAAATATTATTCAAATCAAGTTATGAGCATTAAATTTTATTATAAACATTGATTTGGAAAATAATACAAGCTTCCAATGAGGAATTAAGTATTTCTAAAAAATTTTTAAGTGAGAAATTTTCTCTTAATGTTATCAGCGTACTAGAACATTTTGAGAAATTTTCAATATCAAAACTTTGATTTATTTTTCAAATAAAAATAAAAAATAATTTTTTAATAAAAAAGGAAAAAAGAATTTTGTGAAGAAAATGAAATATATAAAAAAAATACAATTGTGATATTTAAGAAGAATCAGAAAAATTAATTTTAAATATCAAAATTAAGATCACTTTTATTAAGATTAAATGATAATATATAATTAATTGATACCTTTTTTTAAAACGGGCACTACGTGGTGCTAATCCTTTTTTACATGTAACATTACTCTCAAATCCAACCTATTTTAACAGATTTATAAATTATCTTTTAATAAAGTTTTAATTAATTTTAAGATTTTATTAACAAAGATAAGTTTTAATGGGAGGCTAATCACACTTAACTAAAAAAAATTGGTAGCCATTTTTTATGATTTTAAATTCATCTAGAGATTCCAATACCAATATGACACTCTGAAATATGATTCATTTTTATGTTCATCATCATGATCAAATAGCTTGTTTATGTGGTTAATATAAACAAAGGCAACCAATGACAATGCAGTTGTGATTTGCAATCATGATGGGCAAACTCGAACTTCAAAATCTACAAAATTCAAAGATAGAATTATGTTTCTCCCAAGTATAAGTCAAAGCGAAAAGAAAAAATATATAAAGGACTTGGGATCATTAGGAAAACATATGATGCAATAATGTTTTGAATAGCTTAGGCCTAATTTGGACCAAAATCAAGTCACTTTGTTTTTAGCTTTTGATCATATCAAAATAGCTAGTAGGCATGTTACTCAATCTAATTGTAGCTATTTGCAACCATTTTTTCCTTATTAAGGAATGAAACAAGGAAAAACTACATAAATAAAATTACAAAAGGATATATGATCAGATATTGATTAACGTTGAAACTACCAATGAGAATAAGATTTAATTTTTGAGATAGACAAAAGAAACAATGAGTCACATACTTCATCATGTAGAATTACGTAAAAACTGGACAAATGTGTTATGCTTTAGACATGTCTTGCCATCTCTACCAAAAAAGTACTCCACCAAGCCCCCATTCTCTATAGGCACTATAACTTTAAGGCCAAGTCTTCATCTTTCATTGTGGCAAGCCCCTTGTCTACTTTGTGCTCACATCAATGCCATCATTTTCTTGAATTTGTCCTTATCTATTTCTATGTTAATAATATAAATTGATACTGTGATCATTTTTTGCTAAAGCGAACATATCATCAAAAACTGATCAAGTAAGAAAAGACAAAGCATTTTGAAGAGTTTTTTGCTACCTGATAGAATTAACCTACATATTATTGTTAAGGTCGAACATTTTAAAAGCCACTGAGAAGCTTGATTCAGGAATGCTAAGAGGTATGGCAAAAAAGATGTACCTTAAAGTGAGGAAAATGAAAAGAAAGCTTAAGGATCTTAATTTTTTTAACATTCAAGAGCTTAAAAAAAAAGAAGATTGTGTTTGGCCTGAACAATAAACACAATAATACAAAAGTAATATATCACAATAAACTCACAACAATAGACAATAATAAAAAATATATAAAAAATAAAGCACACCAAGATTTACATAAAAAACCCTCCAGTATAGAGAAAAAAAATCATGAACCAACAGAAAAATTTTCACTATCAAATAATTAATATACAAAGTTTTTCTCTAGCAAAACTAGAGCTAATCAATAATTAGAGAGACAATTGAAGAAATCCTACTAAATAAAAAACTTAACAAATACACTCTAGATTTGTTTCTAGAGAGCTTCAAACTCGATCTTTACTGTTCAGAATATAGAATTTTGAATGATAAACCTGCTGATAAAATTTTAGCTTAATCGAACTGCGGATTAACTTTTATTTAACCAACTCTTCCTTCTCCCTTTTTTTTTTTATTTTTTGGTTTTACTTTTACACCTCCTTTGTTTCTCTTTTTTTTTTCACCAAAAACCAACCCTCACCATTTATTATGTAGGGGTCTCTTAAAGAAGCCTAAAAACACAAAGCTCATGGCTTTTGAATAGTCAAATAAACTATGAGGTTGGACCCCACTTTTTTAACAATCTCTCCTTTCAACCTATTAGGAGGAGTTTTATCACCATAGCAGTTTCATTTAGAATTTACCTTGGCCAAAGAACCTATTTCGATCAAGTTACTGCAGAGCTCAAGCTTCTCCCTAGAAAGTGTCTTAGCTAATATATCTGTTACATTCTTATCAATATGAACTTTTTTCAACAACATTTGTTGTTCCTTACTAAACGTAACCAGTAACATCTAACATCAATATGCTTCGTTCTAACATAGTACATGACATTCTTACTTAAATCTGAAGCACTCTGGCTATCATAAAATGTCAAATACTTTTTTTGATTTAACCTCAATTCAAGAAGAAAATGTTTCATCCAAAGTATTTTTTTACCTGTTTTGATTACTGTAATATACTCAGCCTTTGTAGTTGACAAAGTGACACATTTCTATAACTTAAACTACCAAGACACAGCTTCTTTTGCAAAAGTAAACAAATACCCTAAAACAGATTTTCTTATCATCAAGATCACTTATCATGTCAGCATCAGTAAACCTTTTTAGAATTGATTGTGAAATTTCATAACTCAAACATATATTTGAAGTGCCTTTTAAATATCTAAAAATCTATTTAATTGCTTCCTAGTGAACTTTTCTTGGATTAGAAAGAAATTTGCTCACTACATTAACTGCATGAGTAATGTTAAGCTGTGTGCAAACTATAAGATATATTAAAAAATCGACTGTAGAAAAATAAAGAATATGAGACATAGTTAGTTGCTCTTCTTTAGTCACCAGATAAGATTTTTTACTTAAATAAAAATAGTTAACAAGTGGACTGTTAACTGATTTAGCATATTATATGTTGAATCTACTAAACACCGGTTCAACATATTTTTTTTGTGACAATCATAACTTTTTAGCTCTTTTATCCTGGATAATATCTATACTGAGAATCTACTTTACTGGACCTAAATCTTTTATGTCAAAAGACTTAGACAATTATTCTTTCAACTTGTGAACCATACTAATATCTTGTCTCACAATCAATATACCATCAACATATAATAAGAGAATAATGAAGTTATCAGCAAACATTTTTTTGACATACACGCAAGGATCCATTACCGTTCTTTTATAGTTGTGGCTCACTATAAAAGAATCAAATTTTTTATTCCACTATTGTGAAGCTTGTTTCAAGCCATACAAGCTTTTTTTTCAATTTACAAATAAGTGCTCTTTCTCTTTTACTTTGAAACCCTTAGGCTGATTCATATAAATATCTTCTTGTAAGTTATTATGCAAGAATACAGTCTTAATATCAAGTTGCTCAAACTCATAATTCAAACTAGTTGCTAATCCTAGTACCACTCGAATGGAACTCATCTTTACAACTGAAGAGAAGATCTCATCAAAATTGATACTTGATTTTTGAGAAAAACTTTTCATTACCAATTGAACTTTGTACCTCACAGCTTATCATCATCTTTTTTCAACTTGAACACCAATTTATTTTTCAATAGCCTCTTCTCTTTCAAAAGTTTAACAAGATCATCTGTACCATTTTTTCGTAATGACTCCACCTTTTTTTTATTACTTTTAATCAGTACTCTTTATTCGAAATAGTCTACACATCTTGAAAGCTCTTTGGCTCTCTCTTACTGGTAATTAAAATAAAATTTAAACCTGGATACCTGGTAGATAGCATGTGTTGTCTAGTAAATCTTCTATGCTGAAACTTTACACCACCTGATACCAAAGATAGCTCCCCCTACTCAACACTCTTTGATGGAAATGATTGCTCATCCTACTCAAAACTGATTGCATTTGGCTCATCACTAACTGTGGCTAACTCATTTATATCCTCAAGTTCTATTTTTTGCATATTTTTATCATCTGTGGCTCTTTCTTGTGAAATTCTTATCGGTGTTGAAATATTACACTCAACAGTAACCTATGCAATCTTTTCATTTTTTTCAAGGTCTGTTATGATTTTTTTTTTCATGAAAAATCACATCTCTATTTTTTATTGCTTCTTCTTCACTAGATCCCAGACCTTATAACCAAATTCTTCATTATCATATCCTACAAACACACACTATGTGACTTTACTATCAAGCTTTGACTTCTGCTCTTTCGGCATATTCATGAATGCTTTACATCCAAAAATTTTTAAGTGAAAGTATAAAACATTTTTCCCTATCTGCACTCTTTCTGAAATGTCAAAGCCTAAAGGAACTGATGATGATCTGTTAAGCAAATAACAAGCTATGTTGATTGCTTCACCTCAAAATGGCTTTGGTAATTTTATCATTCTCAACATACATCTGATTTTTTTTATAATGGTGTGGTTCATTCTTTTAGCTACACAATTATGCTACAGTGTTTTAAGTTCTGTCATCTCATGCCTAATCTTATGTTTTTAACAGTACTTTTTAAAGTCTTTGGATGTATATTCCTTACCATTATTAGTCTGAATATACTTTAAGGCTAACCCTATCATCCTTTTCACCTTAGCATGAAATTTTTAAAAATATTACAATACATGGCTTTTGTTTTTTAATATATACACTTAAGTCTTATGTGAAGCATCATCAATAAAAGTAACAAAATACTTGCTACCACCTAATGACTCAATCTTAATGGGACCACATACATTAGAATAAATCAATTCCAATATTTTTTTTTCTGAGAACTATTATGAAAAAAACTCTATGATGCTTACCAAACACATAATGATCACATGAATCAAGAGATATATATTTGGTCAAGGGAATGAATGACTCTTTTGCCAAAACCTGTAACCATTTCTCACTCATGTGTGCTAGCTTCTTATGTCATAAGTTTACTGAAGAATCATCCTCAATAGCATTTATCTGATTGCCATTCAATTGCATCTATGTCTTATATATTGTGCAGTATAGTTTTTCTCTTACAATTATCATAGATCTTTTAAAAAGCTTTCACTATCTATTCTTTCATTGACTTTCATATCCTTTCTTATTAATGACATTAATAGCAAGTAAGTCCATTCTCATATCTGAAATGTATTTGACATCCCTTAAAGTTAACATGCAGCATGTACTAGTTAGTATAATAATATCATCAATCTCAATAATCTATGACACACTATTGTTTCTCATCTTAATGCAACCAAAGTCTTCTACTTTGTAAATTGTAAATAATTCTCTCTTAGAAACATAATGATATGCCGTTCCTGTATCAATTATCCACTCAATGTCGAAATCATCAACATGATTACAATCACTATGTATATAAATCAAAATAACTGAATCATTTTTTGAATTCACTACTGAAACATTACCATCATTCGAACTCTTGCTTCAAGATTTTACAGTATTATTTTATATGACTTGCTTTACTACAATTGTCATAACGTCTAGATCCGGAGATCTATCGCTAGACATTGACTTTTAAGAGTCGTCACCAATCATTTTTATCTAGGTGCGATTGGCCACCTAAAGAATCTGTCCTTTCAGGGAACACCTAAGCTTAAGGGTCCCTAAAAGAATAGGTTCAGGTCTACAAACCAGAACAGGG